AGGTGGTAGGGTGTTTCACCTATTTCAGTTAATTATAACTTTAGAATGCGCTTTATGCATTATGCATATTTGCTCTAAGGTAAAGCGTAACAGAAGAAGTAAAATACTATAGAAATTAATCAAATAAACTCGGTTTAAAGTAGTACCTGTGGCAGTTCGGCTTGTGGTTCTGTATGCCCAGAGGACGTTGTTGAGCTCATCTGCCCACTTGGCCTTATGCTGCTCTAATCTCGGCCTTATTCCTTCCAAAATGCATTTGTTAACAGATTCCACCATGCCATTGGACTCTGGATGGTAGACGGAGGTGAACTGTACCTTGATCCCATAACTGGAACAAAAATCTCGGAATGAGGAGCAATTGAATTGAGTTCCATTATTAGCCACAATTTGATTCGGGATTCCATATCTGCAGATGATCGAGCTAAAAACGAAATCTTCGACCTTCTTGGAGGTAAGACTAGATAAAGGCCGAGCTTCTACCCACTTTGTGAAATAATCCACACCAACAACCAGATGGGTTACGCCACCAACCCCTTTCACGAATGGACCTAAAAGATCTAGTCACTACTGTGCAAATGGCCATGGTGCTACCAAGTTCGTGAGTTCTTCTGCAGGTTGGTGAGTTAGATGTGCAAAGAATTGGCACCTCGGACATTTCTGAACAAAGTGAATGGCATCCTTATACATGTTTGGCTAGTAATATCCCTGCCTTAAGACTTTGTGAGCCAGAGTTCTAGCACCGACGTGGCTCCCATAGACACCTTCATGTACCTCTCGAAGTGCATACTCGGCTTCGCAGGGATTCAAACATCGCAGAAGAGGAAGTGAAAAAAATCTCTTATAGAGGATCCCATCAACAAGTGTATACCGAGATGCTTTCTTCCTCAATTTCATCGCCTCTTGCCTGTCCTCAGGTATTATTCCATCTCGCAAAAAGGAGATAATTGAGTTAGTCCAGCTCAGTGTGTCAGGGTTTGTACTAATCTCCATCATCCGGGGCTTCATGAAGCTTGGTTCATATAAGACCTCCACAAAAACGGATCTGGAACTTAAAGAGCTATCAAAGGCAAACTTGGAGAGTAAATCTGCCTGTTCATTCTCAGCTCAGGGAATTTTACTCAAACAGAATTTCTGGAATTTACACTTCAGCTCGGCCACCAAGGCTATGTACTTTACCATCACCGGATCAACAACTTCACAGATTGAGTTGATTTGGTTTACCACCAACTGGGAGTCGCTGTACACTTGAATTACACTGATTTGCAACTGCAATGCTAGTTGAAGACCAAGTAGCAGAGCTTCATACTCAGCTATGTTATTTGTTGCATCAAAATTGAACTTCAGAGCATGTTCGCTTCGGTATCCCTCCGGACCATGCAAGAGAGCGCCAGCCCTTGAACCCTTGCTACTAGATGCTCCGTCAACATATAAGGTCCAGTCGTTGGGCTCTGGATTAGAGTTTGAAGGACATGGGGTGCATTCGACAATAAAATCTACTAATGCTTGAGCTCGGATGGCCAATCTCTGCTGAAATGTTATCTCAAACTCTCCCAGCTCTACTGCCCACTTAATTAGTCTTCCAGAGCACTCTGGTTTCTGCAGAATCTGCCTGAGAGGTTGGTCGGTGAGAACGATAATTGGGTGTGACTGGAAATATGGCCTCAACTTCCTAGCCGAAGTGACGACTGCTAATGCTGCTTTCTCAACTATAGGATATCTCAGCTCTGCTCCGTGCAGCATGCTGCTGATATAATAAATTGGTTTCTGCTGCCTAGCTTCTTCTCTCACCAGAACTGAACTAATGGCCTCATTTGAAATCCCCAGGTACAAGTATAGAAGCTCTCCATCTATAGCTTTAGTCAATAGAGGCGACGAGCTAAGATAAGACTTCAGTTCTTCAAATGCAGC